TCTTAAAAGGATAAAAGGTTGATGTTACCATACATTTATACTCGGATTAGCTGATTTGATTTACAGTGCATTTAGACCGCAGTTAACCATAGACAGAGTAGGGTAGGCCCCTCTGGTTTAGGCTGCCCAGCCTTTCCCTTAGCCCAGACAAGGTAGGCCTAGCAGCATGCACTGCCTGCCTGAATTTCGCCTAGTTTTCATTATTTTACATCATGTATTGGTTTGACTTTTCTAAGCCTAAAGTAGTATGATGTATAAATTTATGGAATGACTGTATAACTAGCACTGTACTATAATGCAAATTTTTTTAATTACCTTTGTAATTCATTTTTCTTAAAATAAATAAAAATAGCATAAATAAGAATTAAGATGAATAAATCTAGTGATGATGCCATCAGCCGGACGTTCGTAAAATAGAAGGTTCGTAAATGAGAAGTTCGTAAATGGGAAGGTCAACTGTATATTTTTTCGTATTATTATTTATTAACTCCTTTTTTTGTCATGTACTGTACTACCATTGTTTTTTTTTTCTTCTTCATGCCCTAAATCTTTGCCAATTCCTTTGAATAATTCTTCTGTAACACTAAGTAGTTGCATCAGGATTTGTGGTTAGAGGCCAGTTATGTCCGCTTTACTGCAGGGATCCAGAGGGCTAAACCTCTGTCCCCTGGCTTCTAGTGGCTGATGGGCTCTTGGCCTGTCAAAACAAAAACCTTCAGCTCCTACCCTACCCCCACTAAAATAAAACCTTAAATTGAAGTCCAGTGGGCTTAATCTCGAGATAAAGCTCATCTCGAATTGAAGCCCTCCTCTTTAGTTTGCAAAATTAGCCTCAAAAAGAGCTTCTTTTCAAGATAGCTTAGGCTTCTTTTCAAGATAGCTTAGGCTTCTTTTCGACAGAATACAGTACATACACTGTAGACCTACAGTACATGCAATTCAAAAAACAAAATAAATTAAAAACAAGCTTGGTTTACACAGTAATTTAGTTGCTTTAATGCCAGTTAAATACACTCTATGCTACAGATTGATGTTACAGTAGCCTTTTGTATTGTTTTATGGGCAAATTCACAGCATTCATTTTAAAAATGAAGCTCTTCCTCTTTACTTTGCAAATGTAGCCCCGAAAAAAGCCCATCTCGAAAAGAAGCCCATCCAAAGTTGGCAAAAAACAAACAGCCTAGGGATTCAATTCGAGGCTTTACAGTATATTGTACATTAATCCAGTTCTCTGAGTACGGTATATTCTCTGTTCAAAAGTGGAGTGGCTGAAGACTCCCTTGCCTACAGTAAATTTACTCCTCAAAGGATTTAATTCTGATATCTAATCCTGACGCCATTTTCGATATAATTACTCCACTGATGTGTTGATACTACACACTAAAGATGATAAATAGTGATTACCTACGATGATTTCAATTCATTGAATACTAATACTAACCAGCTGTGATTTAAATACCTACACAACTCAAGTACAAATACTACCAACAAAAACTACTAGTAACTACCAGAATCTAGCATTAATGAACACTGGCTTATCCTTGACCTTAATCTAATTCCACATTTGGCATTAACTATGACCTCAGCACACAAATATCCAAGTGTATATCAAGTAACAACAAAGAAACAGACCTATACCCGATTCACACGTACAAAAATCTTACCAAATGTAACAAAATGTAACCAAAAGTAACATTTTACGGCACGTGTGAAAGTACCTCCGTGTAATATCCTTGTAAAATCTCGGAGCGTCTCGGTAATCTTTACAAGCCTCGCTGAGGCTGGTAAAGCTTCCGAGATGTAACATGGATGGATCTGCGCATGCGCAGGGATTTCAACACAACAACAATCTACTGTTTCACGGGGTTCTTTGAATTTCCTTCCTTCTGCATACGATTCTGATCCACTAGAAATAGATAGGCCTAGTTTTTCTAAATGATGAATGAATTACCCTTGTTATTGATGTTAATTAGTAATGGTAGAAGAAGAAGATATACATAAAATGAACGTCGGGATGGTGTTAGTACTATTACTAGTATTAAAAGAGTCGACAGAAACGTTGGAAGCTATGCCTAGTTTAGTAGTAGTAGTAGTAGGCCTACAGCAGTTGTTAAGGGTATTGATTGCTTCGAATGTTTACTGTGATGGTGAGTTCAACAATCCATCTGTGACAGGGGTTCTCAACTAGGCCTAGGCTAGATCTATATCGCAGTAGGGGAAAAATGGTTCATTGAATAAACACTGAATAAATTTTACACAACCTTGGCATTACCTTAGAGACGTGTGTGAATGCTTTTTATCTCGGTAGGAATAACTCGGGAGATCGCTCGGTTACAATTTGTTACTTTTTGTTAAATATAACTTCACGTGTGAATCGGGTACTAGTCTAGATGTTAGTGATTAAGAGTTGAAAAATGTTGGTAAAAATAATACAAGAAAATTAATACAATTAGGAACTCAGTTTATAAACATTTTTAGAAGAGTAAAATAAAATTTAGGAACAAAGAAACAGAGCAAATTGGTGATACACAAAAAGAACACTTCAGTTCTAAAACATAATTTACAGGTATAAGCACTTTTATACTTTAAATACAGTATATATATTTTACTTCATTTTACTATTATTACAAGGTGGTATTGTTACAATGATTACAATGATCATTTATTTTGATCAAAATGATATCTGTATTTTATTTTGTTAAACTTATAAAAATAAAAGCATTTCATAAATTTTATAATACACATACATGTAAAGAATTATAATGGATACATTGTCCTTTATCCTGCCTAACGTTCATGGTAATGGATACAACAAACTGAGTGATCAGACTCCAAATTAGAACCCAACACTGGCTGGGTTTGAATTATAATTCTTATATTATGATTATTTGTATAATAGTTATGAACGAGTTATCAATCTGCACCCAGAAATACTGAAATAAACAGTGAAGACAGTGACCAGCAATGAACAGCAGATGAATATGGAGGTATAGATAGGATCTGAAGCGAGAATCTACAGTATATCAAATACTGTACAACAAACATCATGCCCCTTACTGTAGGACCTGCTATTCACGAAGTAGACAGGATCAGTCATGTTATAAGAAGACTAAAATGATGATCCTTGTCAAATTCTTACACTATGCAACAAGCAGAACAAGAGGAAAGAAAACCAATTCTGTTCTTCAACGCGTCAACCATAGATGACAGTTAACTTGATAGAAGCTAATTTACCAAAGAGAGTTTCATCCATAAATATTAAATTAAACAATTTTGTAAATAGCTTTTAGTCTTCTGTATCTGCATGTTTGGTCATTGTTTGTGCACAGGTCTGCCTCTGTCTCTTATACACATCTAGATGTGTATAAGAGACAGACCTTGCCCTCCTTGTCCGCCAGATCCACCTTGTCCTGGTCTACCAGGCCTACCTGGTCCTCCTGGTCCACCAGGTCTTCCCGGTCTGCCAGGCCTACCAGGTTGACCAGGTCTGCCTTGTCCTCCTGGCCTACCACTAGGTCTGCCGTGCTCTAGTTCCTTACAGGTTGTTGGTATTCTTGCATTATTTACTAGAGAATAGAAAGAAAACAGAGATAAATGTTAAGTTCCTAACCGAAGAATGTTATTTTTGGTAATTAATACTAAACCGTTGTAAACACGACTGCAAGTCTATATTTAGATCAAAACTCATCAACTTAATACCTCTCCGAATAATAAGAGTTTCCGGTTCTGAAAATACACTGTTTCCAATATATTCCAGATTAGTTCCATTCTTTGATATTCGGATTAGTTTTTCACTTGAGTTTGACAAAATATAAAGGTATCCTCCAAGTGATTTCACGTCAACAGGTTCTGTCAATTGTGGTAATGATGTCGAATTGGCAATTGTTATTTCGTCAGAACCCGAAAAACTACTTCCACGTATTTGACAACTCAAGTACAAATACTACCAACAAAAACTACTAGTAACTACCAGAATCTAGCATTAATGAACACTGGCTTTATACCCTTGACCTTAATCTAATTCCACATTTGGCAATAACTATGACCTCAGCACACAAATATCCAAGTGTATATCAAGTAACAACAAAGAAACAGACCTAGTCTAGATGTTAGTGATTAAGAGTTGAAAAATGTTGGTAAAAATAATACAAGAAAATTAATACAATTAGGAACTCAGTTTATAAACATTTTTAGTGTAAAATAAAATTTAGGAACAAAGAAACAGAGCAAATTGGTGATACACAAAAAGAACACTTAAATTCTAAAACATAATCTACATGTATAAGCACTTTTATACTTTAAATACAGTATATATATTTTACTTCATTTTACTATTATTACAAGGTGATATTGTTACAATGATCATTTATTTTGATCAAAATGATATCTGTATTTTATTTTGTTAAATAAAAGCATTTCATAAATTTTATAATACACATACATGTAAAGAATTATAATGGATACATTGTCCTTTATCCTGCCTAACGCTCATGGTAATGAATACAACAAACTGAGTGATCAGACTCCAAATTAGAACCCAACACTGGCTGGGTTTGAATTATAATTCTTATATTATGATTATTTGTATAATAGTTATGAACGAGTTATCAATCTGCACCCATAAATACTGAAATAAACAGTGAAGACAGTGACCAACAATGAACAGCAGATGAATATGGAGGTATAGATAGGATCTGAAGCGAGCAGAACAAGAGGAAAGAAAACCAATTCTGTTCTTCAACGCGTCAACCATAGATGACAGTTAACTTGGTAGAAGCTAATTTACCAAAGAGAGTTTCATCCATAAATATTAAATTGAACAATTTTGTAAATAGCTTTTAGTCTTCTGTATCTGTATGGTCATTGTTTGTGCACAGGTCTGTCTTCACGATGCAGTCTACGAATGTCAATATAATGTCAATGGTTGCCGAATGTCTGTAATTAGACAGCTACAACTACCAGTAAATTTATATAATTATTATAATAAGAAATTTACTTACCTGCTGTACAAATTGCAAATATCATCTGCATGGAATCGAAGAAAAAGAACATAACAAGCAACGAAATGGAAGCACCCACTGGCAAGAACATGGCTTGAGTTGTATCAATACTATGTACTGAAAAAATGAAGGGAAAAAAACAAAAACATGATATTTCAATCAGTATCATGTTGTTAGGCCAAGTAAAAAAAAAGTAGTTTCTTGTCCAAATATTTTGAAAAAAGGGAGAGGGCACTTTTTTTTTTTTATTTCCAGATGGAAAATCCGAGATGGTCGACGGGAAACAGCTACTAGTTTCTCACTTTTACCAAGTACACATTGAATGCAAATAAAAGAAGCATTAGACATGATTTATACCATGTATCCCTAAACACAAACGATCGAGAGAGGAATTTTACTGATGTTTGTCAGATTTTTGTATTTGAATATATAAATAAAGGAATTTTAAAAAATAAATAAAACAATATAGGTGAGGTAGAGAAAATGGATGCATGAGGAGACAAGCAACTAGTAATTTTTTTTCGTTTGGCTTTACTGGATGCATTTATTTTTTATGGAGTTTTAACACAACAATGATACCTGGCAACAAATGAATGAAGGAAAAAAATCAACATTTTAATTGTTACCTCAATCAGTATCGAGTTTTAACTGCATGTATATTGCTTTATGGAGTTTTCATATAACAATACCTGGTATTAAATGAAAGAATGAAAGCAAACAAAATAAAACAGCCACGGAAGGTTTTGCCTATAAACTAAATCAAGAAAACAACTTGCCATGGTCACTGACAAAAGATAAATAATTACAATACTGTAATTTACTTGGTTTTGCTTTAATGGTATGTTGTTTTTTCCCATTATCTTTGTTTGGTTTTTAGTGCAAGTTGTTTTTTTTTAACTTTCTTTTTGCTTTCCTTTGTTCTTATAGTGTTTTATAATTGTTCTTGGGTGCACCATCCAAGTGATGGGTGCCACTGACATGAAAGTGAACCCAATAAATCGTATCGTAAGCAAAGAAAATTCTTATCAAAATACATTGAGCTCCTTGTACTGTATGCATAAACCTATCACATAATAAAAAGGAGAAAAGCTATGTGAACTCCCATTAAAAAAAAAAAAATTGCTACACCAAACATATTTTTCATTATTTACTCACATGTCTAATTCTCTTTTTTTGTTTGCATGGCTTAAGTAGGCCAAACCCACTTGTTTTTAGAACACAACCAAAAAATATTAGGTTTTACTGTCAAGGCCATAATTATAAATTGTATTCTTTATAATACACCTATGTGAACACTAAAAGCAGGATGACATTTTACAAAAAAAAAAAAACATGCCATAAACAACTTTGTACCTGTTGAATACAATCAAGGCTATTTTCTTCCATTAGGTACTTACATATGCTTTGTACCACGAAATGTATTTCTAAAAGTAATTGAAATATCAGAACGCACTTTTGTTTGATAAGCCTATTTTTAAAGTTGATTCAACTATATTGTGCACATTTTTTATTTATGTCAGATCATCATACTTCATGAATACGTTTTGCTTCACTGCAATCAGGTTATTGATTGTTCTATTATTGTCAATATTATACTTTATTAGAGATTCATGAAATTCACAACCTACTGCAAACGATGAAATACATATGACTTTACCATATTTTGTTCTTCATATCCTTGAATATGTTTTTCGAATACATTTTATAGATATTTATGCTCGAGTTTCACCTAATTAGACCCCATCAAGGCTGTCTCCGGGTCTGATCAGGTGCCTTTTAGGGCCCGGCAATTATCTTGCACTGGGTTCGTCATCAACTCGCTACGCAGCTGATGCCAGTGGCTATTATGAGAATACATTATGAGAAACAAGTTCTTCTAATGTTTTTTAAGTGCTTAGTAGATGAGACTCTTGATGAAGTAGGCCTAAATGCAGAAGGTTAAAGCCAAACAAATCAAATGAAGTGTCTTTGGGAAAATTATTACTAACTAAAAAAAAAAATACTAGCGTAAGTTGGACATTTTCAAAATTCTAATGGCTACTTTGAGCCTATTCACATCTCTAATATTTTCCTAAAATTTGGCTTTACAGGACCTTCTTTCATCTGTGGCGTGTGAACACCATCCAAGATGAACCGTCAAAGAGTGTGCACGTGAATGACCAAGCTGCTTATTTCAAGACACATGTACAACTTCAAGATAACAAAAAGCAACACCGATAAACTAAACCCAATATTACAATAATTTGCGTATAACGTCTAAGTGTGAAAGGAATGTCAAATTAAAATAGTGTTGTTAAAATTTGTACACGCAGTAGCATAAATCAATTCCATGTTCTTTCCAAAATGTTGACTGCAGGGTTTCTACGTCCTCGTGGGCAGTTGGTGAATGTGGAATGCTTTTCCAGCAGGAAAAGTGTGGGCAAAAGAGTATTACCTTTTAGTGTAAGCAATACTGTAGAACACATGGTATTACTGTAGAGTATTTAATAAAGGCACATTTACAAAAGAATAAGTTGTAGACTAGTGTAGAATAGTATTAGTAACCTTGATAATTGCATTGTCAAAGAACTCAACCTACCCCAACACAGTTATACAAGGAAATTGTCTCATAAAGTAACTTATTATTGGCATTAATTTTAGCATACACTTACCATTCTCACTAGAATTGTTTACATTTGAAGGTGGCGATGATAACATTGTTTCCTTCTCTTCAAAGTTTTTATCTTTTTCCTCTTGATCCATGTTTAAAGACCTACAAAAAAATAACATCTCAAAATTTTTAGTTAAATGTTTTTAAATTGAATTAAGAGGATGACAAATATTAAAGCATACACAATACTTACATTTTATCTTGAATAAGATTAATATATAATTATTATTTTGGGGCTTGCTGTGCCAAAACCAGCAGTGACCAAAACAAGACTTTTTAATATGTATTCATATTCTCTACATTATAAGCTTTAAAATGATAGGTCATGAATTGACTTATTATTGCCAAGGCTGTGAGTAAAAGTATTGCGTATTCTCTGTACCTCTGGCGTATACTGTACAATACTGCCACTCTTTTATCAGCCTAACATTTAGTGATAGTAGGCTAGTATTCATTAGAAACCCACAAGTGAGTTACAGTAGAAAAATGTTTTGGATTTACTCCTAACATTGTTACAAATTATGTTACACATTAATACATCAAATAAAAGAACGAAAAGGGCAAGCAAGCTGTTACAAGGTTCAGAAACAAGGAAACCTCTTCAATAACAGCACTGCGGAAGTTGCTAGATAAACAACCCTAGTGTACTTGAATGCAATAAATACTTGTCATTAGTTACAAGTGTGCCCCCTAATAGAATATAATTACTAGATCAATAAAATACAAAGGTCAAATAAACTGGAACAAATGTGGAAACAAAGATATAAAAAGAACAAAGAGCATAAAAACCATGTGGAGCAATGAAAATATGGGCTGCTATTGGAATCAGAACTACTGTAGCGATACACTTAAAAATTTTGCCCAGACTCAGTGTTCTTATTTTTTGGCCAATTTCAGGCTCAAAATGTTCTTATTTTGTTCTTATTTTTACATATTTTCAAACACAGAAAAATATTATTGTACTGTCTTATTTATAGAGAATATTAAATTGTCGCACTAACTGCAAAATAAGGTACTGTACAGATAAGATTTGTTGGTTTCTCAACAGCAGTACTGTACTACAGTAACATAAGTATTGTGTTGTGATGCATTTAAATAAGCATTTAAATGATGCATGAAACTTGGATCCCATTTTAGGCCCTATATCATGACAAATTGGAATGCCATGCAAGTGATTATTGACCCATCTAGTTACAACCACTCACTACACAATTTCATGCTGTGTCTAAACATTAATGAATCCATCTAAACTTGCAATCTGCAGATTGTGTGCGTATGTCATAGATAGTTGTGTAATGTAATAAATTTCTACAGGTCAAAAGGTCAAAGCCACTCACAAAATAAAGAATTTTTCATTTTAAACAGACATAGAAGGATGAATATACAGAAAATTATTATTGTGAACAACATATAGCATTTCCTTTATGGATGAATAAATTGTATAATATACAGTAGAATACCAATTGAGGGGACACCTATGGGCCAAAAGGTGTCCTTTTAGGGTGTTCCCTATAAATAGGAGTTGTATGTTAAAAAAGATATACTTCCTGTGTTTTTTTGACAAAAAAATTCTTAATATATTTGCCATATTACCCATTGAACTTCATATTTCTATTTGTTGTACAGTATTTGCAATGTGGTTCCTTTTAGTTGAACCATTTTAAAATTTTGATAGATTAGATTTTTAAGCTTGAATTTCAACCCACTTGTGTTGCAATAAGGAATAATTTGATGAGGGATGGCACTAATGATGAGATTAACAATTTTCACCACAGATACACATTAAAGAAATTGTATGCCAAAAGAAATGTTGATAAAATCTTAGCATGTTTAAAGTACCAAATCATTAACACCACCAGAAGAATATGAAACAAATATATTTTAGTTTTCGCTGACTTATCAGACATTTCACTAGAAAAATCTTTGAATTGATTACCAGTAAGTATGCTAAAGAATACAGGAAATGAAAGTTATTTTAACTGTCTGTTTATAACAGGATAGAGAACTTCTTTTTTTTTATATAATTTTTTTTTATTGTAACTTAAAATACGGTAATAAATTCAAATATGGAGGGGAAATTTTAACTTTTTAGCTCATGACGACATAGAGCACGCAGGTACAGGTACTGTTGGTGGAGTGGTAAATACTTAAGGTACCTAAATGATAAAATTTGTTTAACAAAGATGGTAAAACATGTAAATTTCCATGAATTGATTTAGAAAACCACTTACAATATACTATATTTTTGCTACAATATAAAATAAAAGAATCTAAATTTTGGCTAGTATACTTTAGCGAGCTGGGCAATAAATAGGCAATGTTCATAGGTTTTGTTGATGCTATTATTTAACTGTCCTTCAACTCTGCCCAATATTCCATAACCACGATCTATGTTAAGAACTTCTATCTGAATCAAAAAGCAATCCATTTTGCAACATAATTGTATACTATTTTATGTTATTCGGAAAAATACTACTTGTCTAAAGCCATATAATTCAGCATGCTATTATTACAGGTACAGTATACTGTACTATACTTCATCTGTTGATTGATTCGTAAGATGCCATTGTTGGTCTTAAACAAACATGTGAATGCCCAACTGTTGGTTGGTGGTATGCTCAACAAAGGATTTACAATCACATCAGCAGGAAATCAGGTTAGCCAAATAAAATATAAAATTTCATCACTTTCATAATGTATGAATACATTAAGCATATTAAATTAAATATTTATCCAACAAAATGATGTTTATGATTATATTGAATCAATAATCTTTTAACAAAAAAATATGAATAATACAATTATAATAATTGAAGGTTTTGAGAATCATACTTACCTAAAACTACCATAAATTATCAGAAGCATGGATATAAGAAAAGTGGAAACTCTAGATGAATCAACAAGAGAGTATGCCCTGGAAGAAAAAAAAATGGATTATTATTAAACATATCAAAATAGATTTTATATTTAATATTATTTATAGTAAGATTTATTTTATTTATATATTAACATAACTTATATATTAACATAACTTATTTATTCAATTTTAAGATTTTAACTTGTGAGATAAGTGTGTGTTGCTAGTCCTGTTCTGATTAAGTTGTAAATATTGACATTCTAAAACGTCCACTGCACCGGGTCGAAGGTTATGTAAGGTTCTCCATGGCTCACCGAATTCACACAGTGGCTACCATGAGTTTAGCCAACTTTGCACTAATCTTGTAATGTAAGGTGCTACTATATTGTAGAAAAAAAACATAGACCATTGTACCTCAGAGTCATTAGCCTATCAATGGACTTTTCTCCAAAGTCCTGCCACTTGAATACTTTTGCTAAGGTCCCATTATACAACAGTGTAAAAACATACAAGAAAGGGTGCGTTTGTGGGACAACATTCTGTGTTTCTGAGATATGCACGTATTACTGGCCCAGTTCAGATTGGTCAGTTGTTGAAGTTTGATTGATTGACACTCCGGAAATACATATATCTAATTATTACTCAAAATAGCTGTACAATAAATACCTGGATTCAACACATGACCAAAAGATTATTATGGAAATATTTTAACCACATGATGATTTCCAGGATTTTCCATTCTCCTACAGTACTGTTAAGGATCCCACTTTGGAAGGAAGACGGGTTTCCTCTGTTTTTTACTAACTTGCACAAGTTTATAAATGCTTATTGTCACTATTACTATGGATATAGTTGGTGACTGAAAAAAATGTTTATTCAACAGAATTAAGCAGGTTTAATAAATACAATTGACTGAATAGCTTGGCACACTTAAGCAAAATTCATCTTAGTAGAGATCCCTACCTTAAATACTAGTTCAGACTGTCTACAACAATAAGAATTATAAAAGCTTACAGTACATCAGTGCTCTAGATGCTCAAACAAATGACCAAAGAAAAACTTCACAAATATAACTGTCAACCTGCAGGCATATAATACCTAGGAGAGTATGTACCCCATTTTTTTGATTCACCTCCTCCTCACCCCCTCCCTCCCCCCACAAAAAAAAACAATGTATTCAATATAAAACAAGTTATTTTCTAGTATACACAGTCCAATTGACACTGTTCACAGATTATTATAAAGCAGAAATTAATTGACTTCAAAAACAACAATACCTATAGCTAATCCTACCTACACCAGCTCTGCCCCTTGACTCTGCCTGAGTTTCTACTAGGCAACCCTAATACTCCTGTTGATACACTTTTGCATGCCCTGCTTAATTTCCCCACCCCACAATGGCAATAATGAATATGGCCCTGACCCACATCTCCAATATACACAAAACAGGCTCAGATGATCAGTAAATTTTTATGAAATCTGGCACACTTTGGCTAGCTAAAAAAAAAACAAACATTTATCTCTTTTTATTAGTTTGAGTGTAAATGAATACAATGTGAAAACATGAATACTATATTATTAGGACATATTAATTAAATTGTTTGTCTCAAAGCTCCCTTGTTGTGAAAAAACTAATGCGGAACGCGGTTTTTTTTTAGTTTTTTTTATTTTGGATTTTTTTAAAGTACTGTATGCAGAATAAATACAAATATTTACTGTTGATGTGACCATAGGTTGATTGCATAACACATGTATAATGCTATCACCGAATAAAAAACAAAGATAAACTGAATTAGAATATTGTCTTTTTTATTTTCTATGTATGAAACCTTGAAAACTTTGTACTATAGATACAACCAACACATGCATTAAAATCAAAAAACATGCTTGATAATCAATGCCGAGCCAGCTAGTGGGACAGGTGGGGCATCTGAAACGACATCCGGTAGTCGAAAATCGCGCTGTTTGCAAAAAAAGTTTCAAGGTATTTCCGTTACTTCGTCATCATAAAGTAGACCAATGCAAATCGCAACATCGATCACGTGATGCCATGTTGCGATTTTGTTGATAATTTATGCAGAGCTAGCTGTTTGTGGCGTTGCTAACGAACTGGTTTGGCCAAGTCGTCCTAGCATGACGAACCGAGGCGAATCATCTCAGGGCTAAATTACTATGCTTTTTGTTCGGAAGTAAAAACAATAACTTTTGGCTTTGTGAATTGAGATCGCATATGGTGTAGCCTAGACCCCGTGCCTAGGCTTATATTATTGATAGTTTGGGCATCGAATCTAGGTATGTACTGTACCGCCGAGAACGTTGCGACACGGTGTGTCGTCGGGCTGTGATTGAGTTAGGGATCGCCTTCACGCATCAACTAACACCAAGTTACTACCACATCGTGCAGATGTGTGTGGAAGAGTTAGGGATCGTCTTTCAAAGTCCGATATTTGGCAAAGAAAAAAAAATTGGCAAAGAAAAAAAAAACGTTTGTAGAGTTTAGGCGAGAACAACGCGCATGAATTTCTTAATGCGCGCGGGAGCTTTGAGACAAACAATTTAATTAATATGGCCTTACAGTACTTCTGTAAATTAAATATAAATACATTCATCACCAGTAGGGGCAATAAAAATCCAAGGTAGGTCAGGCCAAATTTACTTTGATTTTTTGATAGCCACATTAAAACTACTGAAGGATGTCGTAGGTACTTTTAAATTCTACATGATCAAAATTTAATAAATAATTTTGGACCTGAGACATACTGTACATGTGTACAAATAACAATATTTAGACGATGTAGGGCATGAATGGACACGTCCTACAGTAGACACGGTTTGGACGCATTTTCTTTGTGAGCGGTACTGTATAAGCCACATTTTTCCAGCTTACTGTACACACTATAGTCCTAATCCATACTATTGTACTAATTTTTTTTTTTTACTTTCATGAATAAAGTAATAAAACTATCAATTAATTTGGTGTTTTCACTTTGTTCAAAGACAATAAATCATGTTTTCATGTTTATAAATTATAAGTACCTGTTTATGCCAAGTTTGTATTATTTTTTACTATATAAAATGAAACTGAATGGAATATATGTGTGTGTGCATATTAAGTACAATAGACCCATTATTCAAGTAATCTTGCATTTTATGTGTTAAGTACTGTAACTGGCCATGCTTTAGCTATGAACAGTAACTAATCTTTATCTTTTATTGTCAAAAAATATATTTAATACTTGGGTTAAATGCTTGCTCCACTTGAAAAAATCTATTTTCAAGTGATTGCAAAAAAACTATGTTTTGCACAAAGGCCACTACACAGTGCATAGCATCTGCTTGTTAATTAGCAGTAAACAATCAATTGAATTTGAACATGTTATTAATGGTTCTATGCATCTTATTGTTTGTTGATATTGTCTTTGAATAATATTGATATCAGTAGTTACTGGTACAGTACATAGAAATAAATAAAAAAAAAACAGCTTGTTTTGGAGTAGGCCTACCATGTTCTCCTTTTCCTCCTGTCTTGTTTCTTATCCTCTATTTTTTTCTCTCTTTTTTGAGAGAGGGAGTGTAAACTCAGTATTTTGATGTTTATTGTTGAATTTGTCTGGATGGAGTTCAGTACCCAATGAATGTCCCAGTTGATAGGAACCCCCCCCCCCCAGCTTTTTGGGTTTTTTTTATCAAGATAGATTAGATATGTATGGATAAGTTAGAGGTAAATTACCATTAAAAGTAAATTATTAAACAATTTAAAATAGGTCACAGATGAAACATCAACATATTCTGGCAGTAGTACTAGAATTCAGCAAACATCTGCTGTGAGTTGAAAATAACTTTGCATAATATAATAATAGTAATACTGTAATAGTTTTGTTACTGTACAGTAGGTGTTATCATAGTCACCACCCATGTTATCTCACTTAGACATGGTACATATAATGATACGTAAAAATGCAATTAACTTAATTAAATTCTTCAGATCATCTTACACAAGTCAGATGTGTTGAATGGTGTTGTAGCTGGCTTGACCTCCAACTTTAAACTTCAGTCCTGCTATCTTAATGCACTATGCCATGTCGGAAAAATGTTTTAATAGGCCTAGCTAGGCCTAGCCTTAGATAGATTAGTTTTGGGCCTAGGCTAGGCCTACATGTAATTAATTAAATAATTAATTAGGCATCAACCTCCTCTATAACCAAAAACATACAGTGTACAGGATGTAGCCTGTAGACTGTAGTACTAGTAGACCAAGGTAGGGCCTACCTGTAGGCCTAGCCTAGGCCCTAGGTCTAACTACAACAACCTGCTCTTACTATAGCACTATTACTAGGCCTAGGTAGTACTACTAGGCTCCTGGACCAAACTTACCAATCATATTCAGACATTTTTGATTTGCGTAACTCGCCACTAGTTTGAAGAGAAAAGGTAGAAAAGCTGGCCTCTCTACAGTCCTGCCCTCAGGCTCAGAACAACAGAAAAACTCGCCTCGACCTCCTCTCTCTCAGCTGCGTTCCAAAAAAGGCTCAACAAGATGGCCGATCAAGTAAAGATCAGCAATCCACTTAATTATTATGTACTCCTTGTCACCTTAAATTCACCATCATCAAATATATATTGTGGAAATGCTGTAACAATTGTTTTATCGTTCGTACCACCTTATGAAAATTATAAGAATACCAAGGTAAGCTTGATTGCAATGACCTCCTACGAACAATAGAAAACACTTCCTTCGACAAAAATCCAGTGTTATGATATTATTGCACATGCGTAAAAAGTACACTTTTTAGAATCGACCATTAACATAGAGATAGATTATTCAATTGTATAAAATTAGATACTCTTTTTGTCAATAAGAAGAAGGATTTTACAACCGTCTATATTTATACCCTAACTATATTTATTCATACTGGCTCTATGCTTTTTGAATCCAAAAGGAAATTTCTTTCATTATTTGAAATTATTATAAAATATTCTAGTCTAATTGCCTTCAGTAGTCCATGAAACACGTAATGGAATAACCCCTTTAATGCAAAATAAAAATAGTCATAATATACTCACTCGTGGTCCAAGGGTCTTTATTTCGGTACAAAAGAAAGCTAACTCAAGGAGGTATTAAATAATTATTTAATACCTCCTTGGCTAACTGTTATTTATGTTTTTTTTAAATCGTTTAACCTTTTTTTTTTCTAAAAGATTGTATAGCGTTTGTTTGAACACACTCCATAATAATTTGTTTTAAAAGGAGAGAGTTGGTTATTTCACTGGAACAATAATCGCCAAATATTTTTTCAGGATCGGAGGGTCAGACCTTTTTTCGTCTCTGTCTTTCATTCAATACACTAGTCGTATTTAATTTTGCCTTATACAAACTCAATTAAACTCAAATAAGCGTCCCTTAACTTCACTCTAAATGTTGAAATTCAACACATAATTATCTTCAAAATGTGTTCTGCGCGAGAAGACTTCTTGATCTCAACAGGTAAAAAAAAAGAATTAGAATGTATTGAGAGAATGATGTTGCTTCCATTTTTGTTTATACAGCAGTCATTTAGGGAAGCATTCGTTCGAGAGGGAGGCGTTTATTCCAAATGAGACTCTGGCTTTTATCAAAGCGAGGCGTTTATTCGAATAAATACGGGAATAACCACAGATACAAATAAATCTTGGTCGATAAAATTGAGTTTAATGCGGCAATAAAGTAAGCCTGCATAAAATACAACACAAAATAGAGGACACTTTTCAGCAAGAGGTGTATAAAACACCAGCTACATATTGGATCATGAAAAATCACCCACTTCGCAACAGAAACATGAAAAGTATCGCATGTGTAGGAATAAACAGGAAATATAGCATAAGCTCACTTACAGGACAGCAGGACGGATTGTCATTCAAACATAACAGCTGAACAATCAGGAGTACGCGCATGTCCCACTACTTCCACTTAAATGACGCTTTTTCGATATCTAAAGGGCGGGTTTGTGGAACCGTCCAATGCCCCAATAACGAACATTGATTAGTCTGCGAGTCTTTAAAGATAATAAAATAATGTCGTAAACTTGAGACCACAAATTAACTCAAGCGAAAGGAAGGTAATTTTTTATATTAATGTTTGTATAGTCTGGCTATTTAATATACTGGCTGTCTACTCATCATTAATTAGTAGTGTTATCAAACTATGTGTTCAATTTTCTCACTTCCGTTGTGACTTGTGTTGTGTGTATAGTGGTTTATCGGCAGCCCCAGCATGAGGGCGTAAATTAGTTTGCGTTGTTTGAACTGTATCTTTAGCTGGATAAAGTTAGTGACGATCCGATATTTCTTGTGTGCAGTAGTTTTACAAAGGTATAGTGAAATATCGCAGGTTCGTCGGAGACATTTCTCAAACAGCTGATAAGGAACTTTTTACACTAAATGGACAATGCCTGATACATTTACAGCTTTATCTGTTATGTGTCCTATTCGATTATCTATTTGCTTATTTTGAGCAATTAGCATCAAATAACGTTGACATTAAAAACAGGCTGGCCT